TTCCAGGCCCGGGGAACTGAGAGGTGAGTAAGCAGTGCTTTCGAAGGGAACCCGACTCCATCGCCCCGGGGCCTGAAATGCCTCTGGGGCCCTGGGGAAGTGTACCCCAGCTTTGGGAGGATCGCCTTTGTAAGGGAGGGGCCCACGTGGTCGGCTTAGGAGTTTGGTTGCTCTCCTAGGAAACCCCGAGAAGGGGGGTTGGGGCGCGGGCCGGCTGACTCCGCGCTGGTGGTTCCCTGTGCACTCAGTGGGTGGGGGAGGGTTCCCAGCCCGGCCCCGCGGCCACCCAGCGGCCACCCCGCCTGGGAGCCGAGGCTCCCGGAGAGGCCGCCCCGCGCCCCACCCTCGGCCGGTAGGCGAGCAGGTGTGACCGCCCGGCCCAGCCTCCTGCCCAGCCCCGGCCTCGCTTGAAAAGCTCTGGGATGCTGGAGGGCCAGGGCCAGTGCCGGTGGGTCCGGGTGTCTAGTGACCAGCTAGAACGGAGTCAGCTTGGATACTGGGGACTGCAGATGTGACCTCGAGGACACTCAGCTGTGCGCCTGGCTCGGGGAGTGACTTTGCCCAGAACAACCTCAGAATATCACACAAGGCATTGCGGAGCCCTGGAGCCTGGAGTCCCAGCCCTGGGGGGAAACTGCAGCATCTACAGGCCCGGCCTGCTGGGAGTGGGCTCAGCTAGGACTGGACCTCCCCTGAGGGACAGACACTTAGAGCTTCTTCCTGCAAGGACCTCGGAGTAGAGACAGGGCCCCAAGAGCCTGGGCTCTGTCCAGACAGGTCTGCCTGGAACCCCAACTTACACATCACGTCTCCCGAGGCGGCTCAGCCTTTTTGAATATCAGGTTTCTTATCTTTTAAAAAATTATAATAGAACCTTCTATTCTTGCCAGGTGCTTCTCAGGATTAACTGAAAAGATTCCCGTTAGAGGAACCTCCTCACAGGTCCCAGCAAGGCCCCACCCCTGGCCCCACCAAACCCCAGTGACTCATAGCGTTTTTTTCAGGAATTCAAAGATACTTAACTCAGGCCCTGGCAGGTTTGGCGCAGTGGTTGGAGCATTGTCCTGTGGAGTTGAAGGATCCTGGGTTTGATTCCAGCCAGGGGCACGTACCTAGGTTGCAGGCTCAATCCCTGCCTGGGTCAAGACGCGTGCTGGAGGCAGCCAATCAGTACGTGTCTCTCACACTGACGGTTTTCTCTCTCTCCCCCGTCCTCTCTCTCTGAAAAGCAATGGGAAAAATATCCTCGGGTGAGGATTTTTAAAAAGATGCTTAACTCAGGTTTCAACCTCTGATGGACCCTTTGATAAAGTTTGAATGTTTCATCACAGGAGCGGCATCTGAGCGTGACTCTGCAGTCTCTCTGCTACGTGTTCTGCCTGGAATCTTCACCGCAGCTGGGAAGGTGCACCATCCCCCCCCCATGTGTGTAACTGAGGAAATGAGGCCCAGAAAGAGTGGGCAGCCTGCCCAAGGGGAGCCCTGGTGACAGAGGTAGAGCCACAGCCAGGCCTGCCTGGCCTCATAGCACACGCTGCCATCCAGTGCCACAGAGAGACAAGGGAGAGAGAAAAGCCACAGTAACAACACGAAAGACTGTCTCAGGTGAGGCTTCCTAAAGCGCACCCTGCATGAGAACTCGGGGCAACCGATTCAGGAGGGAAGGGCTCCCGGGAGAAGCTTACAGGGAATGGGGGAAAGACAGCCAGAGGCAGGACTCTGGCCGAGTCTCAGCTGCAGCCTGACCCCCGCCTGACTCTCTGAGAAATGTTGGGGGAGGACGTCCGGGGATCTGGGAGCATCAAGACACTGAATCAGGCATCGTGGCATCTATTCTATTAGCTCTGAGAATACACATTCTTACCTCAGGACCTTTGCACCTGACATTTTCTCTTCCTGGGATGTCCTTCCCAGTGATTGTTATAGGGTTGCTCCTCTTATTTGGACGTAGGCTTAAATATAACTTCTTTAGAAAAACCTCTTCTCACCTCTCTAGCCAAAGTGTCCCCATCCCAGTGATTCCCTTGTCACTCGATTTTCTTCATTGCCCCGATCACCATCCAGAGTCAGCAGTTCACTGTTCGTCTTCTCCTCACTACAGCACTAGTCCTCGGGGGCAAGAATGTTGTTATTTGTTCAGTGCTGTATCCCCACGTGACACATGGTGCTTGGCCCATGGTAGATTCTCATCAATATTAACTGAATGACTAAACTCAGATGAACCTTATTTTTAATCAGGTGTTTGCCCTCTTCTTATTTCACTCACCTTCTGCCTCATAGAATTGGGGATGGGGGATGGGGGGAGTAAGGAAAGGGCTCCGGTTAAATGTTCTTGGAAAACAGAAAACCATATACATTAAAAGTAGGCAAAAGGCTTGAATAGGTATTTCACCCAAAGGGATATCCACGTGACCAATAAACATGAAAAGCGGACGACTTCCTTAGTCACTGGAAAAATAGAGTTAGAATCACAGCGCCATGCCACTGAACACCCACCGGAATGGCTAAAGTGAAAGTAACTGAATGTTAACAGGATGTGGAACCACCAGGATTCTCATTCACTGGTGCTTCTCGAACTCCAAGTGGTGAAGGACCGGCTCTCTTTTTTCTTTTTAAATTTCCAGTGCATTGCAGACCAAACACGGTCCCACTGAGCACGACTAGCACACAGCTCCTGCTGACTGTGCCTCAGCTCTCAGGTGTGACATCTGAACTGTCCATACACCCTCAGATAAGGCTGCTGACCCCGTGTTTGTATGTCACCTAACTGTCACGTCTCCATAAAAGTTTCCAAACGCTCAGTATCAGTTTCTGTATTTACCTCATTGCAGACCAGTCGCCAGTAGCTCGAAGCCCACCCTTGAGTGGCACTGCAGTACCCTGATGGTGAGTGTGAATTAGCACAACCACTTTGGCATATTTGCTGCAGTTGAACATACATATACTCTAGGACCCAGAAATTTCACTGCAAAGTATGTATCCAACTTAAAGGTGTAATATTGCGTGCAAAAAAAATGCAAGAATGTTTATAACATGACTATTTCTAAGAACCCCAAACTGGAAATGAACCAACATTAGCAGAAAAAAATATTACAGACCAATATCCCTCATGCACATAGACATAAAAATCTCTTTAAAAAGCAAATCAAACACAACAGTAAGCATCATGACTAAGTAGGGGTTGTCCTTGAAATGCAAGTCCAGCTTAACATTTGAAAATCAATATAATTTACTCAGTTAATGAAATAAAGCATTGGAAAAATTCAAAATCAATTCATGATAACAAATTTTCAATCTAAAAATAGAACGATTTCAATTTGATTTAATTTCTCAATTGGCTATAAGGTATATATGAATTTGATATAGGGCATGTATGAATACTTAGAGCTAACATTCTACTTAATGGTGAAATTTGAACACTTCTAAAATTGAAAACAGGCAAGGATATCCATTTACCACCTCCTTTCAACATTGCACTGGAGGTCCTAACTATTGCCAATAAAGAAGAAAAAGAAATAAAGGCATATGGGTTGGAAAGAAAGATGCAAAACCACTTTTATTAGCAGTTGACATGATTTACATAGAAAATCCCACAAATACACAAAACAATTTCAAGAACTAATCAGTGAACTTGGAAAGGCTGAAGAATATAAAGTCAGTATACAAAAGTCAATTGTATTTCTATCAGCAAGAAACAATTAGAAAATAAAATTTTAAAATTCCATTACAGTAACACCAAAACTCATAGAATATGTAGGAATAAATTCAGCAAGAGGCACATGAGACCTCTATAAAAATAGCCCTGAGAGAAATTAAAGAACACCAAAATAAATGGAGAGATATACCATATTCATGGACTGGGAGATGCAATATTGATACTATGTCAAATTTCCCCAGATTGATGTGTAGATTTAATGTAGTCCTCATCAAAATCCCAGATGGTTCTTCTGTAGAAATTGGCCAGTTAATTTTCAAATTTTTATGGAAATTCAAAAAGACCTATAAATAGCTAAAAGTATTTTGAAATGGAGGAATATTGGAGGACTCACACTTTGTGATTTCATGACTTACTATAAAGTCATGGTAAGCAATTTAGTGTGGTATTGGCATGATAAACAAATAGAGCAAGGAAACAAAGTAGAGTCCAGAAACAGACTCAGACAGGTGCAGTCCATTGATACTCAACAAAGACATCATAGCAATTAGCAACATTTAAGGACAGTTCTATTACTATATCATGGTAGAACTCAGATAATTGTGGGGACTGACTGGAAGGGGATTTTCTGGGATGATGGCAATGTTCTCTCTATATTTTTTTAATTTATCTTTAT